CTGTGTTTTAAACATAACCGCGCTTCACTCTTTGAGGTGGGTTGTAGGAATGGCGGTCAAATACCACTATTAGATTTAGTGGGGGTAGTTGTACCACCCTTTCAGATGAGTTTTAAACTTCTAACTATTATCTTCAGTTGTATAAACTAGTGATGTGCTAAACATTACGTCTAATGGTAAATCATGCAATGAAGTTCATACATTTTACCTTAAAATACCACCTGATATCTCAAAATGCAAGGGGTCACAGCTGAATTTTCGAACTCCTAACTATCATTCCCAGTTGTATAAATTGGTGACTGGTTTGTTTGTTTTGAATTTCGCGCAAAGGCTATCTGCGCTAGCCGTCCTTAATTTAGTAATGAAAGACTAGTAATCAATACCCACCGCCAACTCTTGGACTACTTTTTTACCGATGAATAGTGGTTTTGAATGTCACATTATAACGCCTGCACAGCTGAAAGGACGAGCATGTTTGGTGGGACGGGGATTTTGGACCCGCGACCCTAGATTGCGAGTCAAGCGCCATAACCGCCTGGCCATGCTGGGCCTAAATTGATGATCCAATATGTATTGCATCTACTACCACCAATCATAATAATTTCATAATGATGAAGTAGTAGTCATACAAGAGCGCAAACATCTCACCTTTAAAACCACTTGATAGATTAGAAATCAAGAATCACCACTTTATTTTAATCAGAGGTTTCTCAACCAAATTGACAATCATAGTTGCGGTGATTTGGTTTAACCCAAGCCATATGGATTGGGAGACAATAGTTGGTGCTTTGACCAAATGTAGGAGCTGTCTCTCCCTTCTAGATCTGGAGCTTCCTCATCTAGCTCATCCTGAATGGTCAGATATGTACTCTCAGCTCTTTCCTCTTCACCCACTGAGCCATAGTGGGATAAAATAGTGTTCTTGTCTTCTTCTGACTTGTCAGTCTCCTCCTCTAATTCCTGGTCAAGCCAATTCTCTAGCGGTTTGTCCATAATGTAAAGATGCATTATACACATTAACTCTCCTCTCAACTACCGTACGTCTTACATTAATGGACTGATTTGTCTGAGTACAAGATGAGGTCCTGTCCAGCTGGAGCTAAACAGCTTCTGTGCTGTTAATATGCATCAAAGCAGCACCCAATCTTTACTCCATTCCTTCAGTCTTGTCATATGGCAGCCTTTCCTTGCTGTTGACGTCCAAACTCGTGCACATAAACTAACACAGACAATAACCATTTCATATATTCTTGTCGACATTGTGGAACATCAGTTCTAGGAGGAGGACGATACACCACGTTTTCGAATACATCAGTATATTCAGCTAACAATTCACTTGACTTGTTGCTGCTGCATAGAGTCTAGATTGTCTGCCTAAGCTTCAACTACCGTTTTCTGATGCATTTATTGATAACTGCATACTTGCTTTTGAACGCCGCAGAATAGATGCAACCTTAGCAATACCATTAGCCACAGTTACTTACCCAATGACCATTCCAACTTAAAGCTAAATAACTGATCATTCATAACTGCATAACATCACTGGGACTTTACCCCTCCTTGGATGACCCCCTGTGGGTCAGCGGTAAATCTATCGACTTATAACAAACAAACTAAACCCCTCTTAGGCATATAATTACCTAAGCTAATGCTGCTTTCTTTTTCAAAAGGGCCATCAAATGTAC